AGTTACGCTGTAGCGACTGCTTCGTGTGGAACCGGCAGCAGACGTGGCTGTGCGTGGTGCCTCTGCTCATCGGCTTCATCGGCCTCGGGCTCAGCCTGATGCTCCTCAAATGGATCGTGGTGGGCTCCGTCAAGGAATACGTGCCCACCGACCTGGTGGACTCCAAGGGGATGGGCCAGGACCCCTTCTTCCTCTCCAAGCCCAGCTCCTTCCCCAAGGCCATGGAGACCACCACCACGACCACTTCCACCGCGGCCCCCGCGACCCCCGCCTCCGGCGGCGCCGCCTCTTCCAGGACGCCCAACCGGATTAGCACCCGCCTGACCACCATCACGCGGGCGCCCACTCGCTTCCCTGGGCACCGGGTGCCCATTCGTGCCAGCCCGCGCTCCACCACGGCACGGAGCACGGCGGCCCCCTCGACGGTCCTGTCCACCACGGCCCCTGTCTTCAGTAGCAGCACGCCCGGCTCCAGACCCCCGGCGCCAGGAGCCCCCAGCACCCAGGCAATGCCCTCCTGGCCCACTGCGGCATTCGCTACCTCCTCCTACCTTCACGATTCCACTCCCTCCTGGACCCTGTCTCCCTTTCAGGATGCTGTCGCCGCCTCCTCCTCCCCCACCACCACCACCTCGTCTTCCTCCTCTACCACCACCGCCACGCCAGAGACCAGCACCAGCCCCAAATTTCGTAAGTAAACACTGTGTTTGAACTCTGATCTGCGACTGAGTTTCCTTTCCTTCCTCCCGCTGTCTTTTCCCCTCGCTGCCTGTCATCTAACCATCCCCCCTCACCCCCACTCCAGGTTTGGAGCACTTTGTGCGATAGATAGTTAAAACTGGCCACAGGGGAGGAAACGGTGCCCGCCTGTTTGGGGTACATGGGTGGGGTGGGGGCGGCAGGAAGCGGACGGAGATTGCCAAGCCCCACGGGCCCTGCTTCAGTGGGTCCCAAATGGGAACACACCTAACTCCCTGCAAAGGGTTAACGCGAGAGCGCAGCCTCCACACTGCAGACCTGCTGGCCGGCTCTGGGCTCTGGCTCCTTTTGAGAGCCTGGGAGGAAGGGGGGAAGAAGGGAGGGTGGGCCTTCCCCAAGGCCATGAGCCCTTTCCCTGCCTTTAGGAAGGAAAGCAAAGCAAATGCAAACTGACCGACATCGACCACCAAGGGAAGTTATGTCCCGGTGGGGCGGTGGAGGGCGTGGGCTGATGATTTGATAGAGACCTCGGTGAAAAGAAGCTGGAGACACTCAGGGCAGCCCTGAGCCGGGCTGGGATCAGGAAGGGTTAATTTGAAGCTATTGGGGGAGGTAGGGAAAGGGGGCGGTTCTCAGCACAGTG